TTACAATTACATGGGCAAGGTAATGAGTACATTTCTTATCAAGCCTTGTTGCCTCTTCCTTTGTTTCCCTTTACCATCCCTGCCCTCCCATCTCCCCCCCCCCCCTCACTCCTCCCCTAAGAACTGTGTTTTAGGTGTCCCACATTGTCACAACATAATGGACTGTGGAGACATAAAAGTAACAGAGACCCTTGCCAACAGCCCAGACATCTTAAAATTCTCTGATGGAGTTTGAGTTTACATTCACCTTATAACAATCACCAAGCATAGGAGGAAATAATCAGAGTGATAGTTGGCAGAAACAAGGAGCCTCAGAAATGGTCCACTAAGGGCTGAGTGTTCTACACTATCAATTAATTAATCTACCAATCCTCCATATCTGGTTCTGCATCTGCCAATTCAACCCACTACAGATAAAAAAACATAGTTAGGGCTATGTGATTATGTCTGTGCTAGGTATCGATAGACTTCTTTCCTGTCATAACTTCCTAAACAGTACCACAACTATTTACATAACATTAAGTGCTGTGAACAATCTAGGGGTGGTTTGAAGTATGCTGCAGATGTGTATAGGTTCGAGGGGAGCATATTACCATTGTATGTAAAGGATTTGAGCATTTGATCTCGAAATCACTCTTGCATAGATAACAAAGACAGACTGTATACTTAAAAAGAGGGAGTAAAGCCGGGCGCTGGTGGCTCACGCCTGTAATCCTAGCTACTCAGGAGGCTGAGATCTGAGGATCGCGGTTCAAAGCCAGCCCGGGCAAGAGAGACCGTGAGACTCTTATCTCCAATAAACCACCAGAAAACCGGAAGTGGCGCTGTAGCTCAAGTGGTAGAGCGCTCGCCTTGAGCTGAAGAGCTGAGGGACAGCGCCCAGGCCCAGAGTTCAAGCCCCACGACCGACAAAAAAAAAAAAAAGAGGGAGTAATTAATAAATAGATCCAAATTAAATTAATGAATAAAGAAATAACTACCAATGAAATAAAAACTGGTTAACTCTCATAATATTTGGCATATATGACTATAGTACTTTAAACCATTGCTTACTGTTTCTTTGCTTCCTTCTAATTATAGAGTTAGGTACCCACACTCTCTGCTAAAATAGTTAGCATGAGGAGCAAATATCCAGCCCCTGTGATATTTGGCTTGGCTTTGTGACCAGGAATGAATCGGAAGGGAACAGGAATTTCAAGAGCACTCAGAGTTAAAAAAAAAAATAGCCTCTTGTGTTTCTTTCCCAATCATGGGGAGAAATACATCCACCAATATTGGGGATAACTGCATGATGAAGAACAGACAGGAAAGTGGGTTGTGGCTCAAAGTAGCAGAGCACTGGCCCTGAGCAAAAGAGCTCAGGGACAGCTCCCAGGCCCAAGTGCCAGCCCCACAACTGTCCAAAAAGAGAAGAAGAAGAAAAAAGAACAAAACAAAACAAAACAAAAAACAGGAACAGACAAGAATTCTGGCAAGGGAGGCTCATCCCACATCTGAGATCACGCAAGCTCAGCTGAGATCAGACAAAGCCTTATCACACTAGAAAACCCGGAGCAAGAGAGAAAACTCAACATGGTTGTATGTATCTGTTACGCATGATCTGGCTGATATGAGATAAGTGATTAACAGAAAAAATAGGTTAAGTCAGAAAGGATGATGAAGTGTATACTGATAGAGAAGTTTTGACATCAGTGTTCAGTATATCAGAATATATTGAACTATACAGACAAGATTTTTTTTTGGAAATCCACTGGGACTTGAACTCTGAGCCTGGTCACTGTCCCTGAACTCTTTTGTTCAAGGCTAGCACTCAACCACTTTGAACTTCAGCTCCACTTCTGGTTTATGAGTGGTTAATTAGAGGTAAGAGTCTCACAGGGACTTTTCTTCTCCAGGTGGCTTTGAACTGTAATCCTCAGATCTCAGTCTTCTGAGTAACTAGGATTACAAGTGTGAGGTACCAGTGTCCAGCCTATGGACAGGATTAACAGCATAAGATAATACTACTATATACAACTGATTTTATAGCAACATATTTTATAGTGGTATATTTGAAAACTAGATAACATAGATAGTAGGAGGCAATTTAGAATAACTCAAGCTGGCCCAAGAAGTTTTAGAATGAGTGATTTATCATTAGTAATACATGCCAGACATGGAAGCAAAAGTGTATCAGACATCTTTATTGAAAAATGTTCTTTTTTGAGGCGGCAGCATTAGAGTTTGAATTCTGGGCCTCATTCTTGCTTGGCTGGCTTCTGCCATTTGAGCCATGCATCCAGTCCTATTTTTGCTATTATTTTGGATCTAGGAGTCCAGTAAACTTTTCTGCCTTTGCTGGTCTCAAACCACTATCTTCCAGATCTAAGCCTCCTAGTTAGCTAAGATCATACATGAAAACCAACAACACCTGGCCAAGAAAATGGTTGGGAGGTGAGATTTTTTTTTAATCAGCTTTTCAGAGAAGAGATAAATAAATATTCCCTCAAATACATAGCTTGTACTATAAAAATTTAAAGTGATTATCTAAATATATAAATCAGAATGGATGAAGATAGAAAAAAAAGAAAGAAAGCTCTAGAAAATATATCTTATAAGTAGAGATGCTATACACATTTTTATTTATTTGTTTGTTTGTTATGACGTACCAGTCCTGGGGCTTGCACTCAGGGCCTGGGTGCTATTCCTGAGCTTCTTTTGCTCAAGGCTAGTACTCTCTCATTTGAGCTACAGCTCCACTCTTGGCTTTTTCTGAGTAATTTGTTGAAGATAAGAGTCTCACAAGTTTTCCTGACATACATGTATTTATTTTAAAATTTTATTTTATCTTAAAGTCTAACAATGCATTGATGGCTAATAGCAAAGTCTTTAGAATCTGACTTCCTGCTTTCGGTAACCAATGTATTGGCTGTGTGATCTTTAGAAAATCACTTTAACTTTTAGGTACTTCGATCTTATTTGCCACTGGGGAAAATAATAGCATTTATAGATTAATGTAGTAATGCAAGTAGAGTCCCTGGCACAGAGTAAATCTGATGATATTATCAGTCATTAGACCAAGAAGATATAGTTCAGGAATGCAAGGTCAGCAAAAACAAATCAACTCACTGACCTATCACAGGTTTTATTAAAAGTTTCACTTCAGATATGTACACACTTAAAACCTGAAGCTCACTTTATTCTCAAAACTAATAGAAGATCACAATTTCTTCATACATGTCCTTCCCAGACCTGTCAAATGTGAAGTATTTGGTACTGATTAAAGATACATCCCAAGCAAATTATTCTGTCTTCTAGTTTTGTCATTAAGATCTCTGAGATTCCAGGGATTACATTTAAAAGCCAGCTGTTCAACTTCTAGTAGTTTGGGTAGCTAATTACAGACAAGAGTCTCACTGACTTTTCTGCCTGGGCTGGCTTGAAACCATGATCCTCGGTTCTCAGCCTCCTGAGCAGCTAGAATTACAGGTGTGAGCCACTAGTGCCTGGCTTAGGATTTTCCATTCTTGAGGCAAGGACTCAGAGCCAAACCTACTTGGACTTACAGAGTACAGAAATGGGACATTTCTTGGAAGCAAAACAATGGAACCTCGTTGACCTTCTCCTTCTTATGTCCACTCAGCTTTTGCTGGGGATGAGTATGAGGGCAAATGGATTTGAATCCAACCTCTGCCATTTTCTCTCAAAATATTTCACATTTTTCTTAATGTCTTTTGTTTGGCTTTCTTGCTTAAGTTTGACATTCTACCACTTTAACCACACTTCTACTTTTGTACTTTTGCTGGTTAACTGGAGATAAGAGCCTCACAGTTTTCTGCCCAGGCTAATTTTGAACCTCCATCCTCAGATTTCAGGTAGGATTACAGGTGCCCAACTAACATCTACTTCCCTTAACCTTCATATGTGCATCCTCACCTAAACAATAATACAGGTCCCATGGCAGAAGTTTCTGAAGTGGAAGTTTCAGAACTTCCTGCGCAGGGGATTGGATGTGGTTTGTATAAAAACAATCACTTTGTAGTAGTGATTATGATATTCATCTTGGTAATTAGTGTAATCAAGAATAATTGTAACTGCAACGTTATTTTATTTCCATTTCAAAGATGAAGAAAGAGGTTTGGGTAAAATAACCCCCAAGAGTCACAGGGTACCTAACCCACCCCAAGACACATTCTAAGACCCAAATACAGCTAGCTGCTTACAATGAAATGTCAGATTGAACAGATTGATGGGAGGAGACTGCAAATGGTGGGGTTAGTGGTGTGAATGACTCTGGGAGCTCTGAAGTGGGTGGGGAGTGTGTGCCTTAGCAAGAAAGCTCTAGAGCAGGAGGATGTCTTCTTAGTGTTCTAGGCTGCCTGTTGTTAGGTCAGGAGGCTGAGTCGGTACCCCAGAACTCAAGGTAAATTGTGTATATCAATCAGTGGGGCTGAGGTCACCAGCAGTGTGCTGTGGCCCTTATGGAGATCATAGAAACCTCATGGAGACCAACTTTGTCCTAGAGATATCCTGTACTGAATTGTCCTGAATTGATGCTGAGCTCTGTACATTAGAGTTCCCCCAGAAGACTCTCTGTCTGCCACCATGTTTAACCAAGACTGCTAAATCTTGATGTGACAGGATAGGAATAGACTACAGAGGAAGACTAGATGGCTGGGAGGCCGTGGTTGGAGGATCTTTTCTTCCTGATACCTCAAGGCCACCATCTAGAAATAAAGGATGGAAGCAGAATCTCCATCTCCTACCAAAGGTCAAGGTTGGCAGTGACTGCCTTGGTTGGGTGCTCAGTTGTCAAAGGAATGTGAAGATGTTTTAATGATCATGAGGGAGAGAGTCAGGCCCATCTGTGGGATGAAGGGACTAAGGATGCCTCTAGCTCTAATAGCCAGGAGCAAATTTGGTTGAAAGAATCTGCAGCATCTTACAGACCAAACGGACCCTGCAGCTGGAGGCTGAAAGGCCAGGTAGGATCCCATCTCTCTTGTGGGCTAAGTACCTGCTCAAAACTCACAGATGGCCAGTCGGTACTGCAGACAGTTCTTATCATTCCATGTCCCATCTGTGTACATCTCCACGCACTTCTCTTTGCCCCGACCCCTGGGTTCCCCTGGGTACCAGCTAGTGAAGTTTACAGGGGCCCCATCTAGGTAATGGAAATCTCCAGGGGTGGGCCCCGCATCCAGGCCCAGGTAGGCATAAATGTTGTATTTCTTCACAAGGCTGGCGATGGCTGCGTTTTCCTCTGAACTCCTTGGGACAGCAATGTCACCACCTGCTCTGGCACACATCTCTCTAATAGCATCAAAGTTGGCCGACTGCCCGCTGGTGGAGAAGACCTTCTCTCCCACTGCCAACACAGAACCCTGCAAGCGGAGGACTAAAACCAGAGAAGTCTGGGTCAGGCTACCAACCTCTGTCTCTGTGTCACTCACTCAGGCCATCTATGCCTTCCCTTCCTCTTTCAATCCTCATTTTCTAAATTCCTCTCTGCTCTTATCCATCCATCTATCCATCCATTCATCATTCATTCATTCATGTAATCAGCAAGTATTGTGAGAACGAGTCCAAATTTTCTGGAATTCAACAGAAGGCAAGATAAGCAAAGAATATGGTCCCAGGATAGGATTTGGGAACAAATCCATGCCCACTTCTGTCTCCTCTGGGTCAGTAGAGACATTAGGAAAAGGAAAATCTCCTTGTTTCCTCCATGGCCAACATGTCCACACTTGTCAGGCCTCTAGGTTCTGGAGGCTGGTGCTGATGGAATCTTAGAGAGACCTCTACCCCATGAATTCCCAGTGCATGCATCCCCTTACCTCCCATTAGCTGCTGGGCTTTATGTCTGAGCTCATAGAGGTCTGTTTGGAGCTCCTCGTCCAGATAAGCTGGAATCCCTGTGGAGGGAACCTCAGGCTGAGTCAAAGATCCTTACTTATGCCAAACAGCTGTGTAACCAGCTGCAAGCCTAGAACTCCATCCTTTAATACAAACCCACATCCAAGGCTCTACAAAGCTGAATGCTTCCATTGTCCCTAGGCACCCATCTTTTATTTAGTCTTGCACCTGTTCGGCTCTTTCCTCCTCTTCTTTCCTGCTATATCGCTTGAAGGTCTCCCCCGTCCATCTCTGGGAGCTCTTTTTACCTGTGGATGTGGTGTTGTCCCCACCCTCCACCATAATGGTCTCTGCACGCTCCTGGTGAACTTCTCAGAGACCTGGAGCTCCACTGTGATGTTGGCTTCCCAGTCACTTCCTCTGTCTGAACCTCAGGTCTGCACAACCCTGTGTACGTTTCAGAATGGCCCCAGAGCCCAGGAAGACATCTCTGGCCACCTCCCAACACAGTCCTTCTTTCCCTATCTGGTACCTGGGTCTCTCCATCAGCAGTCATGGTGCATGGAGCACTGTTTGTCCATCCCTGAATTGTGACTGCATTACCCAGACACCTCTGCTTCCTCTTCCCAGTCTCACATTATCTTACTTAGCACTACACCCTGGGCAACTCCACCGCTTGAAACCCTTCATCCCTGATGTAGATGATGAGGCTACATCACCCCTGCCTATTTGCCCCTCTTAAGGCCTGCTCACCTGGAGGGCCCCTCTCACCAGGCTCCCCCTTTTCTCCATGCTCTCCAGGGGCACCAGGGGCCCCTACGAGCCCATCACGCCCAGGGAGACCTGGCATTCCTCCAGGAGGACCCATGGGGCCTGCAGAGAGAAAGAGACACAGGTGTGAACCTCCACTATCATCTGGGATGACTCATCTACCACTCTGTGAGCACTGTGACATGATAGTCCCGCGTAAAGGCTCCCAGAAACTCCCACCAAGCCCCACCCAACCAACTAAGCCCTGAACTGATGAGGGGCCTTGTGAAGATGGATCTATGTCCCTTGGTGAAGAGAGGGTTTCCCACACAGTACCTGGAGGTCCTGGGTCTCCTTTGATACCATCTCTCCCATCCCTGCCGGGCAGCCCATGGGTTCCAGGAGTACCAGGAATGCCTGCACTTCCGATACAGACCTCTGTCCCATTGCACATGATACCAGAAACCATTGTCAAGATGAACATGAGGGCCAAGGAGCATAGGGACATGGCTCCTGCTCCTGCTGCTGCTCCTGCAGAAGGAAAGGGCCCCCATTAGCCCAAGGGAAGCTTTTTCAAATCTCTCTGTCTCTAACCCGTCATCCAGCTGTGTTTTTATCAGGACTTGGGAATGTGACAGGGTATAAAGGCCAGGCAGATCCAGACAAAAGCTCTGGGGAAGACATCTCCAGCATCGTCTGGTATCTAACTTGGTCTCATGGATGATCTCACCAGATTGAGGTTTTGTCATTCCAGGGGAGGTGAGGAGCAGAGTAAAGAGCTCTTCTTTTTGTTAGGGCCTCACTCTGGGGCTCTAAGGAACTCACTGTACCTCTCTGACCTCTGCTGAAGCTGCTGCACTATGGAGACAAGTCCGTTAGGACTGTCTGTCCTGAGGAGGGATGGGGTACTCACTCTCTGAACTTGCACCCTACTTTGAGGTTTTAAGAGTTGACCAGAGTTGGACAGATGATCAAGGTCCATAGCCTTTCCCCAACCCAAAGGATCAATGATGAGGGAGTCGCCTGGCCCTTGGGGAGGCCCGTGGCTCCTAGGCTGGATCTTACTTTGGAAACCCACCCACTAAGAACACCCAGGGCTCGGGGCTGAGCTCACCCATACAAAGAGCCTGCAGGCTGTGGGGCTCTCCGCCTCTGAGTCATATTGGGGCAGTGGGCTGCACCATTTATAGGTATGTGGGCTGCTAGGCTTTCTCCCCTCCCTGTCACAAGGGCTCAGGGAGGGCCTGGCAGGAAGCAGCCATCTTGTTTACATAGCTCATTTCCTCATCTAGCACTCAACACTAAGAGCACTTAAGGAATTTGAGGGGAATCCAGAACCTGCGAAGGGAAATTCCAGGTGTGCAGGAAGGGAAATCTCTCTCTAGTGAAGGATATCTGTGTTATTCACAGCAAGGTTCACACTAATGATAGATTGTAGTCTATAACCAGGAACCAGTGGAAGTCTATTTTGGCTCCTGGTTTAGTCCCAGACAACGTAGTGGCCACAATTCAAGTTGTTCAAGTTCAATGTGGTCAGTTTGACCAGGCTGGAGCACGTGATCTGTCATTTAGGACCTGGCTTACCATCGAACCTCAGGCCTTCTCATCGCTGGAGGCTACAGCTGAATTGGTGAGCAGAATGACAGGTGTCATGTTCTATCTTCTGCCTTGATAGGTTCAGCCGCAGCAAGGCAGGACAGGCCTGTATGGTTCCAGGATGGCAACACTTTCTAGTTTGGGCCATTGATCATGCTCCATAACCTTCAATGGTGATTAAGTTGTCAAATGGTGTGTGAAATCCTGATTGATGAGATTCCCCATTCAAAGCCACTTGACTAAGAATCTCTAATTGTAGACAACAGTCACAGGGAACCAAGAAGAATCCTCGTGCTCCCTTGTAGGTGAAGAATTTTGAATTTCTAAAGGAGTGTGGGGGACTAGGGAAGGGAACCAATAGGAAGCCATCAGAGTTCTGAGTGTTTTCAGCTCTTTTGGTGCTGTTTGCCGCATGTCCCTATGGTGGGTTCTGGGCCACATCTGGGATCACGCGTGCGCAGCCGAGCCAGTGTAGGGCTGGGATAAGTGGAGGAACAGCACCATCTTCAGGTGAAAAATGGAAGAAGAGCAGCTGGGATGTTCACAGGCCCAAGGAAAGGTTTTCCTTGGAAGGCAGACATACTTTGTTTCCGCCTGGAGTTGCCACTTTAGTATTTACGTGGCTCTGATTGAGTTTTTATATAACATTTTTTATTTATTTGTTGAACTTTTTATTTTACTTTTATATTTTTATATTTTATATTTACTTTTTTATTTTACTTTTTCATTTACTTGCTGAACTAGAATCTCCTTATGTAGTCCAGGCTGACCTTAAACTTGTGATCCTTGTGCTTAGTCCTCAAAGCTGAGATTTTTGGGGAATGTGCCACCTCACTTGACTTAGGTTATGCAATTTTTTCACTTTTTTTTCTTTTTATTATTTTGAAATGATACCAAAAATTACAGAAAAGGTGCAGTATAGTATTTTAAAAAAAGAAGTAAGTGCTCAGGGCTGTGTATGAAACTCAGTGGCTGACCACCTACCTGTCACAAAGGAGACTGAGTTGAGCTCCCACACTGGGTATAAAACCGAGTAGGTTGCCAACTTGAGATGTAATCACTCTTAATACTTTCATGTGTTTAAAATATAAATACATTTTCTTGTATGACCACAAAGCAACCACCAAAATCAAGAAATTATCACTGGTACAGTGTCTCCAAGAAACTTTCAGTTCCTATACAAAATTCTCCAAATATGAGCTGGCAATGGTGGCTCACACCTGTCATCCAAGTTACTCAAGAGGGTGACTTCTATGCATCGAGGTTTGAAGTCAGCCTGGATAGGCAATCTGGGAGACTAAATAATAAGCAAAAAGCCTAAAATAGAGATGTGGCTCAAGTAGTAGATGGCCAGCTATCAATGACAAAGCTGAGCAAAAGTGTAAGACCCTGAGTCAAACCTTGGTACTGGCACAGGCACGCACGCACACACACATATACACATTCACCAAACAACCTCCTTCATAGTAAAAGGATCCAGTAGTGTCTCTTTAATGTCCTCAAATGTGATATTTCTGTTTCCAGGCTTGCACAGTCTGAACACTTTTGAGAAGTTACAGGTGAATTCTTGAGCATAATATCTTTCCACTTGTCTTTTATTTCTGATGTGGTACTTTTGATTTGATTCAGATCTGGCAACATTGGTTGAAATGGCATGAAAATGGAGATATGTGCTTGTCCCATTCTATCAGGTGGCACAACACGACCTGTGTGGACTGACCATTTGGTTAAGGCCAGAATTCTGGTATTTTTCTTTTGTGAATAGTGACTATTTTGTGGGGGAAGTTCTTGGGAATTCTGTAAAGAGTTTATTCCTTTTTATTATCTCTCCTTTCTTTTCCTTTTTTCCCTTTCCTTTCCTTTTCCTCCTTTCCTTCTCTCCCTCTCTCTTTCTTCTTTCTAGTTCTTGCCATCAGTTTGTCAAAAAAAAACATACATTGCATTTTAAAACTTGGTATTTATTGAAATGTAAGCACAGCTGGGTAACCCATTACATTTGTTTATTTCTATTTGTGCATTTCCTACTACGGGTTTAATAATTTGGCACTGCAGCTATTTTTCACTTATCTATGACCTTTGTTTGTGGTCCCTTTATTCTTAATGCATTAGAACTGTGTTTTTATGACAGCAAATTTGTCAAGGACTACAGGCCAAACCCCCTTATGCTCAGAACACACTACAGACCACACCCCTTCTGCTCAGAACACGCCCCTTCACTGGTTCCCAGAAGGTCATGCACTTCCACTCATTCACGGAAGGCTATGTCCTACCACTTTTTTTTTTGTTCATGGGGCCTGAACTCTGGGCCTGGGTGCTAGTCCCTCAGCTCTTCAGCTCAAGGCTAGGGCCCTACCACTTGAGCCACAGCGCCACTTCCGGCTATTTTCTGCTTATGTGGTGCTGAGGAATCGAACCCAGGGCCTCATGCATGTAAGGCAAGCACTCTCCCACTGAGCCAACTTCCCAGCCCTGCTCTATCACTTTGAGCCACAGTACCACCTTTGATTTTCTGGTGTTTTAATTGAAGATAAGGATCTTATAGACTTTCTTGTCCAGCTGACTTCAAACCACAATCCTCAGATCTCAGCCTCCTGAATAATTAGGATCACTGGCTGTGAGCCATTGGCACCTGGCCTTGCATTCAACTTCAGTCACTTAAGTCAGCCATTCAGCAGATGCCCAGCCTTACTGCAGATGATATGCGGGAAAGGGCTGATACACGGCCAAAAGCCCACTCCGACATTGAGGAACCACTGGCCATCAGAGTGTCCCTGTCATATTCCCAACCCTCTTTGATCCTCAGGTCCCCACACGTGACATGGTGTTCCAAAGAAGCTGGGGGCTGGAGGTTGGGGGAGGGCAGTGAGTGCAGAGGGTAGGTGGAATCAGGGTATTGTTTTACAGCTCAAGAGTTTCTGGGGTTTTACAGACAAAAGTAAGCATAGAGTAGTTGCTCCTTGACTTTTTATTCACCATCCTACCAATATTATCAAATAAAGGTTTTAGTTTTACATAAACAATGTTGGTAAGAAAAATGGTATTTTTCTAGGGGGTAAGGGAAGTGTCAAATTCTGGGATTCAGCCATCCATATCCTGTGGGCACTTGAGGCTCCCTAAGCCACCAGAAGCCCTGGGAAGAGACTGGAGCTTCCTTATCATGCACTCATGGCAGGATGTGTATGTGTGTGTCTGTGTGTCTGTGTGTCTGTGTGTCTGTGCCTGCACGTGTGCGTGTGTGTGCACATGCTCCAGTACTAGGACTTGAACTCAGGTCCTGGGCATGGTCCCTTAGCTTTTATGTACAAGACTGGTGCTCTACCTCTTGAGCCACAGTTCTACTTTCAGCTTATTTTCTTCTCTTAAGTGGTTAATTGGAGATGAATGTCTCTGCTCAGGCTGGCTTTGAACCATGATCTTCAGCTCCCAGGCTCCTGAGTAGCTAGGATTAGAGACATGAGCCACTAGTTCCCAGTTAAGCTTCAGAATTTGATGGCAATTGGAATTTGCTACCAACTCCCCCACCCCTACTCGCAAGGGTTCCTACAGTTTCCTTTCCCTGGTAGAAGGGGGAGGCCAAGGTCCAGGCAAATGATGCCAGTCTGCTTTCTGAGGGAGGCTACCTGGGCCACTTCTGGCCAGAACCAGCACTGTGTGCCCTGGAAAGGTGCCATAAAGGCCCTGGCTGAGCCTGTCCTTGGAGGCTGAGAAATGGAGGTCTGCTAAGTGAGTCCCAGGCAGAGAACTGCTAGGCAAACAGAGCCAGCCTAGATAAACAAGCCCAAGATCATGCAGCTTCCAGGACCCTGCTGGAGGACCCTGGGACTAATCAAGCTCCTAAGGAGGCAACCTTCTCCCAAAGGCAGAATCTCCTCATGAAACCATAGGTGATTTGTCCATTACTAGGAACAAGCCCTGAGCCAGGGTCACTGGTTAACAATAGGTGTCTGGGCTTGAGGGAGGACTGGCTTCTCAGCAAGAGGGAGGGGAGCCATTGGGGGGGGGTGGAAAAGAGAGAGAGAGAGAGAGAGAGAGAGACCTAACTTTTCTCATGCCCCAGAGGTTGAAATAGCCGAGGCCTGTGTGTCTCTGAGTAGCTGGGGGCTGGGATGGAAAGGCTGCTTCTTCATTCCCAACTCCAGTCCAGCCTGATGGGGCAGACCTGTCTATCTTACCTTGAACCCTCTTCTGGAACAAGCAACTCAAGAGTCCTTCGGGTCCATCTTGACTTTATAGAGCACTGCCCAGGACTGGCTGAAAGCTTTGGGGTGAATCTCCTAATTTGGAGTCAGCCCAGGCCCACAGCTTCAGGACAGAGTTCCCAGCCTTACTTCAATCTGCTTTATTATTGCTCAGGCCTGTTTCTGGCTTGGGACAGGGAGTCTACAGGTGACAAAGCTCCTAGGTTCATATCTTGGCCCTCACATGTGTGGTTGTGGAACCTTGTGAAAGCTATTTAGACTTGGCGCCAATTAAAGATACTACATCACTCATTAGGGTGAAGAAAGCATGAGATCAGTCACCAGCTCAGGCCCTGGCACATTGCAGGTGCTCAGAAATCATCAACTATTACCTCTGATGGTGCCCAGCATGGAAGGAGCCCTTTTTTTTTTTTTTTTTTTTTTTTGGTGTGTGCTGGTCCTGGGGCTTGAAATCAGGGCTTGGGTGCTGTCCCTGAGCTTTTCTGCTCAAGGCTAGTGATTTTCTGGTAGTTTATTGGACATAGAGTCTCACAGGCTGGCTTTGAATTGTGGTCTTCAGATTTCAGCCTCCTGTATAGCCAGGATTACAGGCGTGAGCCACCAGTGCCTGTCAGGGAAAAAACTTACAGGCATGATGGGAGCAGATATAGAAGAAGCCAGGGTACCCAGGCCCATAGGAGCTCAGGTCTGTGAGATTCAGTCATCTGGGCTGAACCCAGCAGGGCCAAAGGGTCAAGGGTCAAGTCTATGCTGTGGGAGGAAGGGAATGAAGGACTTCCCTTTTGACAGAAGTGGCTTTCCCACTATATTAACATTGTCTGATGGACAGGCAGGAGATCAATGTAACCAACCTTGTAAAGCTATGTGGCTCCTCCCAGTACCAGGAAGCTACGTTGCTTCTGGTCATTCCAAGGATTACAAGGTAGGGTAAAATTAGAGGGAAGTGGCTTTGCCCTGAGGTAGGGGAGACAGGTACATCTAGGAGGGCCTGGGAGACCTGAGAATTGGGATTCTGGGGAAAGATGGACAGAGACAGGGCTGGGCCTAGTTCCCATCAACTCTAGATCACAAGCTTCTTGGGGACTTCCCAGGGAAACTCGCTTCTTCCAAAGTGGCCATAGCAGGCAGTCTTCTGGTAGATGGGCTTCTTCAAGTCCAAATCCCTGCAGGTTTGGTAGAAGGCAAGCTTGTTTTGAGTTGGAAAATTAGCCAAGGTTCTCTGCATTTCTCTCTCCTTCCTTCCTTCCTTCCTCCCCTCCTTCTCCTTCCTTCTTTCCTTTCTCTACTTCCCTTCTTTCTCTCCTTCTTTTCCTCATTTGTCTGTCCATCTGTCCATCTGCCTGTACTGTGGCTGAATTCAGAGCCTCACGTTCTCACTTAGCTTTTTCTCTCAAGGCTAGTGCTCTATTACTTGAGCTACACTTCTGTTTCCAGCCCTTAATTGTTTAACTGGAGCTAAGAACTTTGCTGCCCAGGCTGTCTTCCAGCCATGATCCTCAGATCTCAGCCTCCTGAGTAGCTAGCATTACAGGTATGAGCCACCAGCAGGCAGCTCTCTCTTTGCAAGTGATCACAGGAGCCACTGACACTTGGAAGGACAGCCCTTATGGGGAGCTGTGCCACCCACATGCAAAATCCTGCTTTGTAACTTAGGTAACAGAGGGTTTGAGGTGCAAAGACCACTGAGCCCACAGGGATCAGAAACTCAGAGTTGGTTGCCCTTTTAGGATGCCTTTCTCCACTTTATTTCATTGGCCTGACCCAGAACCACAGGCCTCACAGCCAAGCTCCTGAAATCAGGGCTGGGACAGGGACCTGTGAGGATGGAACAGCTTACTGGGTTCTCAGCTTTCTGAGATTCCTCAGCCCCTTAAACGTGCTCCATGGAAGTTCTTGTCTGCTGGGCCAGTGGGAGTATCACACAGCCTCCTTCAGCCTGAGAAGCCGGAGTGTGCACAGTGCTAGGCTGAGTTCTTGAGACCTTCCTACGTGGGAGGCTGGGAAGGCCTGCTTCCTGCTTTTCTCCTAGTTGAGCTGTTCATCTGGGCAGAGCAGGCACCAGATCCACACAGCATGGCACGGTAGAGCTCTTACCTGACTATGACACCTGGGCGGAGATCGAAGTTCCTGTTCACCACCTCTAGCAGCTCCCGCTCTGTCTTCTTGGAGGTCCCATAGGTGAAGATGGAGATGGACAGTGGCTCTGCCACACCAATGGCATAGGACACCTTGCAGAAAGGGAAGGCTCAGGCACTGAAGACTTCAGGGACCAAGGCCTCTAGGTCTCTAGGCCCCAGGCTTCTCCAACCCAACAGGTTACTCTCTTGTCTGTTCAGCAGCTCTGCTGTCTTTTCTACATGTGCCTCTCTTCCTGAGCACTCATTTTTCCCTCACCAGATTTCCAAAACACTGGTTACAGTGCCCAGCTCAACAGGCATAGAACCATGGGCAAAGGCCTGGCTTTCCCACCAGGCAAACATCTCCTTACTCCTCGTGGAAATACACCCATCTTCATTAGGGAGAGGAAAGCAGGGTGAGACCGGGAGTGGGTGTTCAGGGACAGGAAGGAGAGTCAGAGGGGGTGACCTACCTGGACAAGTACTCTCCGGCAGAGCCCTGCCTTCACCAGGGACTTGGCTACCCAGCGGGCAGCATAAGCTGCTGAGCGGTCTACCTTGGTATAATCCTTTCCAGAGAAGGCACCGCCACCATGAGCCCCCCAGCCACCATACGTGTCCACAATAATCTTGCGGCCAGTGACACCTGCATCTCCCTACAGGGGGAAAGAAATAGGGACCAGTGAGAACCAGAGCCCCCCTGAACGGTGAGAGGAGCTGAAATACCCAGAAATGAAGCCCCAAAGCCACCAGAAGGTGCTATGGCTGAGAATTATCTAGAAACCCCTTGCTCTCATTCAGGTTCTTTCAAGGGTGAGCAACAAAAATCAAGCTAAGCTACAGACTATCTGGGGTCATGCCTCTGTTTTGTTTTATCTTGTCTTTATGCAGGTCTTGGGGCTTGAACACAGGGCCTGAGCACTGTCCCTGAGGTTTTTTTCCTTATGTCATTGTTGTTGAATGTGGGCTTTGAACTCAGAGCCTGGGTGACCTCTCTGATCTTTTCTGCCCAAGCTTGGCACTCTACCACTTGAGCCACAGCTCCACTTCGGGTTTTTTTGGTGGTTAATTGGAAATAAAAGTCTCACAGACTTTCCTGCCTGGGCTGGTTTGAACTGTGAACCTCAGCTCTCACCCTCCTGAGTAGTTAGGATTATAGGCGTGAGCTACTGGACCTGGCTCATACCTCTGTTTTTTAATATTATCATAAGAAGAAATCCTCCTATGGTAGAAACTTCCTTGCAAGAGATATAACACAGGCTCTGGCTCTGGCTACCAGAAATGTCAAGCTGGTGGTCTACACCCCCAGTGGTATTCTGTTCAGCTTCCATCAATGATGGATGCCTTTGAACCATGTGGGGGTGGGGTGGGAAGGGAAGAGCTGTATGTTAAATGATCAGGGGAGACTCTGCTTACTCAAATGTTCCCTTCCATAGTCTATGCCTAGGCGTCATTCCAAAAGAAAACAATAAACTTAACCTCTTTGCTTGCTTCCTTCCAAATGGCAGGCAATCTACCACTTGGGGCAGGCCTCTAGCCTTGACCTCCCTCTTAGCCTGAGCCACAGTGTCCACCAGAGCTAGCGGCAGCCATAGCACTGACGGATGGCTAGAGTGGGAGGGCGAGGGGGCGCTGAGTGGGAGGCTCCTAAGGACCTGGCTCCACTTCTTCACAGGCTGACAGCTACCTAGCAGACCCTCCCAGAGGATAGTCAATGAGATTGCGCCCTGAGTGCCTAGCCAGACCTAGCTGAGTCGTTCCTGGCTTGTCTTTTGCTGTCTGTTTGGAAATACAAGCAGCCCCAGTAACAAAGACCCTCCTTCAGAGGCAAGGGCTCACCTGGGGACCTCCGATGACAAACCGCCCACTGGGCTGCAGGTGGTAAATCGTGTCTTCGTCTAGGTACTTGGCAGGCACCACGGCTTTGATCACCTGTTCCTTCAGGGCCTTGCGCATGACCTCCAATGTTATGTCTTCGTTGTGCTGGACAGAGATGACGATGGTATGGATGCGCACCGGGATGACAGCGCCATTGTCCTGCGTGTACTGAACAGTTACCTGTGCAGCAGAAGGGCAGGGGGAGTCACTTGTGAGACTGAGGCCTGTGCTGCGGTCACATCACAGCTGGTCACAGAGCTACAGAAGGGTTCTCAGGGCTAAGTGGGGGCTCTTCTCCTCCAAGGGCCCTTGGAACGTCAGTGGGACACATTTGAAAAGTTTCCCTGCACTATGGGGTAACTAAGCATAAGGCATAGCTATTCCCATGTGTCACCATTGTAAGTACTACCAGGAACCTCGCATTTCTACTCATCTGTGACCCAACCGGGCTCCTCTGCTATCCTAGAGGTTGTTGGGTACCAACAAATGTCTCCCTAGTCCAAGCCCTCTTCCACCTCTCCAGGGCATTGGACCAAACTATTCCTGCTCCTGCCAGTGAGCCCAGGAATTGATAGGCCATGTGTCACTGACAGGGATGGGGTCCTTTAGCCTTGGGCCATGAAGGGTTAAAAGAGGGCTTTAGACAAAGGGATAGTTGTTAGTATCCAGAACCTCTGAGACAAAAGCAAGGAGTCTGGAGGAGCTCTAAAAGTCTGGATAGGCCTAGGAGATTTGTCTACTGTAGGGACAGGATGGGAGGGAACCTTGCCAGGGTGGCTGACACCAAAAAGGAACAGCAAGACTGGACTGCCCGCACCTAAGTGTTTCATCAAAGGAAGGGAGAGGAGAATGCATTGGGGTGGGGGTTGGGGACTGTCTACAAAGCTCTAGAAGGCCAGGCCATAGCATGCATTTGAACATTTACTTCCAGAGGCATGTTCTGTGCCCAATCTGTGTATTATCTAATATTTAAGACACTGCAATAGAGAAGGCATGTTTAACTCCACAGAACAAAGCAACAGGGAGTGAAACAATCCATCTGCCATCACATAGTTTGTGAAAGGCGGGAAGAGCTAACACCCATTCAGCCTGACCCAAAAGCTTGCAAACTGCCTCTCCAGCATCCCTGTTTTTTATTAATCCCAGGAGTCTGACATCAAAGACTGTCTGTGGGAACAAAGGAACGTGGACTTTGCAGGGCAAGTGGGAGGAGGTGGTGTAGATGGCAGATAATGATTGAAAGAGAAGCCAGGAACAGTGAAGCATGACTTGCATGACAGAAGATGCACTCAGGAAAAGAAGCTGAGGATGCAGAATGCAGATGCCTTGGCCAAAGTCACACGTGATCTGGAGGTTTATGGCCTGATAGCTAGGGACACTGCCCAGCAAAAGCTTGCCATGTAGGACTGTAGGCCATGGGCTCAATGCTGCTTTGGTCAACTGAGATAGTAGTACCCAGAGTGTGAGAGGTGTTTAAGTCTGCTAGTGTGCGCCTATGCCACTGCCTGTACAGGACTGCTCCCTATTTAGAGCTGGTTAGGACCTCAGGGAGCACACAATATCCCCCTGGGGGAAGCAGGAAGCCTCTGCTTCCCAAGGTCCTTTATCCAGCCATCAAATGTGGGTCCGTATCAACTCTTGCTCTGGGTCTTATGGGTCCAATAGGGTGGGATCCAGAATCACCTGACTTTAGAGAGGTGAGTGGATTGCACATATTGTGTAGGTTTAACTCTTAAATTCTGGGATGCCCATACATAGGAACTGGAGTCAAAGATGGGGTACAGTGGGTCTCACGAAAAGGCAGTTGTAGCAGGCTATAGTAGATGGGCTTCATGGACCCTCAAAGGGGGGTGGGTACACCTTCCTACTTTGGCTCTATTGCTCCCTGGATGATTCCAATCCAACCCCTCCCCCACACCCCTTAGCAAACCCCATGTAGTGTCTTTGCGGAAACACCAAACTGGGTGACAGACCAAAGGGCCCCAGCTCCGCTCTTATCTCATCATGTCAGCAAAGGGAGGAAAAATACAGCATGGAAAACACAGCTCTGACCCAGTATAAAAATAGCCGGCCTACGGCCACCCGATTGTCAATATCAGCAGCAAGAATTTGTTCAGGTGGAAAGATTCATCCTGTTCACAGTCCACATGGACAGATGATGAAAATCCTTTACAAATAGGGTGTGGAGGGGGAGGAGGCCTGCCCCTGCCCCCAGCACGGTGCCCTTGCGTGGAGGTAGTATGGGCAGTGAGCTCAGCTGCCCTAGGGCAGGCTGAGAGTCCTGCACCGTACTCCATCAGCCATCAGCACGCTTTGCCTGGAGCTGGTGCAGGGCTTCCTGTGGCAGAATGACGTCAACTTCATACCTATGCAGGCACCCACCATGCCATTTTTTTTTTTTACTAGTGCTCTATCATTTGAGCCACAGCTTCACTTCTGAATTTTTGCTGGTTAATTGCAGATAAGAGATTCATGGACTTTCCTGCCTGAGCTGGCTTGGAACCATGATCCGTAGATCTCAGCATTCTGAGTCGCTAGGATTACAGGTATGAGCCACCAGCCAAACCTTCTTCTTCTTTTTTTATCTTAGTTAAACAGAATGAAAGAATAGCTAGTCAGACAGGTTGTTTTTCCAATCCTTTCTTTCATCCAAGGGAAAGGAAAGCCTGGTGAACTCTACTAGCTTTCTCCCACCCCTATTTTAGAATTTTCTTTCCTGTGGCTCTCTGCTTTGTTTCTAGACTATACCACCATCCCAGTGCAGGCTGGGCCAGAACTGCCAATCTTTCTTCTGGAACTATAACAATCTACAAAATTATCTCTCCTGCCCCCACAACCTCCAATGACACATGGGAGATGCTAGTGGCCTGACCTCCCACTTGGGGAGAGGTTGTCACATAAAATAGCTCAGGAAGCCTCAGGGAATGGGTGTCTTTGGGCCATAAACATCTGGCCTTGCCCCAGATGTAGACAAGGTGTAGCCTCTGCCCTGGGTATGGCCCCACATTTGAGGTGAGAAGGATGTGTGTCTCTGTGTGGCTGAGACCACAGGACAGAGTCACTTGGACCACAAGAACACCAGAAGTGCCAATTCCAAATTCATCCCTGATGAGTTGTCTAGTGGTATCTGGGGATGACATTCAAAAGTGATGAGCTTGGCTAGAAACTTGTAGATGAGGGAGGACCAGCGAAGGAGCCTAAATAAGGGTGGGAGCAAACCCAGGAAGCCCTAAGAAACAATCAGAACCTGAGTGAGATGACATGGGTGAAGCAATGATGCTGTGGAATGGGACAGGCAGCAGAAGGTAATGTTGGGAGACCAAGATGTTGAATGACAGAATGACAAGCAGATCTTCCCCCTGCCACCAGAGAAGGCAGAAAATACAGAGACATGATTGGAAGATTTGGGGAAATTAACTGGAATTCCCATGGAGGAAGAACTTTGGGGAGGGTAAGGAGGTGGTGCTTGTCTGGTAGGCATGGGGACAGCTCTGTAAAAACTGGGTTGAGAGTAAAGGATGCTCAGCTGGGAACAATAAGGGGCATGAGTAGGATGTCCTCTTAGTCTTGCTCAGGGACCGCTTATTCTCCAAGCCACCCCTTCAGCTGAGCAGGAGATGGCACTGAATGGCACAAGCAGGCTCTCAGGCACATGTGCTTGCACGTTGAGGAAGAAATGAAGTGATTTAGAGGGACCTATGGTACAAGATGGAGGAACAGCAATCCACAGCAGAACGAAGGGAGAGAGAGCAAGTGGGGGACAAAGTACCAAGACCTTGGGCATCACATGTTGAATCGTGGAAAGGAGCCAGAGTGGGGGGGGGGGGCGGGGAGGGGTGAGAGGGGGTACTGTCAAAGGTCATCAGGGTTAAACAGAGAGCGACGTGGGCAGTGAAGGGCGACAGGACACTTCCATGTATGCTAACACTTGCATCACTGCCAGACTTCAAATAGGGACTTGGGGACAGATTTCAACAGAGCAGGGAGTAGGGAGGTCAGGGCCCATGGAGTTGGAAAATCTTTTATTTTTCTTTTGTACCTGCCCTGGGGTTTGAACCCAGGGCTTGGGTACGATCCCTTAACGTTTTTGTTCAAGTCAGGTACTCTACAACTTGAGCCATATCTCCACTTCTGGCTTTTTAGTGGTTAATTAGAGATAAGAATCTCATGGACTTTTCTGCCAAAACAGCTTTGAACTGTAATCTTCAAATCGCAATCTCCCGAGTAGCTAGGATTTATGTGTATGAGC